AAACATTCCAGTTTTCCCAGTTCCACAATCATCAAACCCCATCAGTTTCCAAATCATCAATACCATCATCCAAGTTATTCAAGCTCTCATATGGACTCTGCATTCATTCTTGTTCATTCTAAACCCCATGCCCAATCCAGGAAATAGCGTTTTGTTTACATCACAAACACAATCACGTCACTCCCGTACTTAAAACTTTGATTCAGTCACTTCCCAGTGGTCTTAGATCAAGGTCCAAAGTTTACCATGACCTTCAGGAACCTTGCCTTTCATTCCAACCTGGCTCAACCATTCTGTACTTTGTTTTCTCTACTTCAGTTTCCCCTCTTTTCTCAGCTTCTGGAAGACACCAGGCTTTGTACTCCCTGAGGGATTGTACATCTGGAACATTCTCTCAAGTCTCCTCCCCAACCCTATTCCACAGCCTGACATCTTATTTAGCTACATACAGCTCATCTTTCATGTTCAAACATTTCTCAGTGTTCAGATGTTTTCCCTGCCTTCCTCCACAATTTCTCCTGTCCCATGTTCCCATATCACCCTTGTCACTATTAATTTAAAATCTTCCTTCTCAACTAGAATAAAACCTCCATAGGGGTAAGAATTATGTCTATTTCAGCTTCATTGTTTCCCCATGTACAGAGCCCAGTACATTGAGGGCACCATAATGAAAATACACCAAACAGGGCCGGCCCGGTGGCGCACTGCAGAGTGCGCCGCTTGGGAGCGTGGCAGCGCTCCCACTGAGGGTTCGGATCCCATGTGGAGANGGATTGGCCCAGGTAATTCTACTTTTGTAGCTGTCCAGCAGGGCAGCCAACTAAAACCCTTACAGGGAATTTATCTGGCTCCTCCCACCTCCTAAAAGGATCATCTCTCCTCTTACATTTCCTCAAAATACCTCTAACACCCTCTACTCTTCCTCCACTCCCCTTATCAAGTTGTGATTTTACATTATATTTGTGTAGGTGATTTTGCCTCTCTCTCCAACTACGATGTAAACTTTCTAAGCACAGACCTCTGTCTACTTTTTTTTCAGAACTCCATATCCAGCCAGTGCTTGATAGGTACTAAGTACTTTATCTATCAGGGGTTCGCAATCTTTTTCTGCAAAGGACCAAACAGTAAATGTCTTAGGATTTGGGGGCCATGTGGTCCCTGTCCCAATTCTTAACTATATAATTGCAGCATGGAAAAAAAGCCATAAACAACATATAAACAAATGTGTTCCAAT